ACACCATCATGAGCTGCATCAACTAGTAGAGACAGAAAAGTCACCAGGTAAGGATCTTATCCCTATTTAAAGCCATGTCGGACTTACAATGACCGCATTCAAAGCCAACGACTGTGCCAGGTCACAAATGAAGAGGATATACATCCAAGATGTCAGATATTGAGGGGATTGGACCTTGGACACCTGATCAAGTGTCGGGCAAGAGAGCTGGACAGCTTGAGTCTCAAATGTGAAGAAAAATTTGAGTGTAAATTTCAGGCAGGTGAACGGTAGAAGTTGGCGATGATGGTCAAGGACGACATTGGTGTTGGTTGAATTTGTGTTGATCAACATTTGTTTTCTTCGCGTCTCTTTCCACCATCGTCAACGATGTACTCAAGAACCTGCACTATCGACGAGTCGCATCAGCTCGTCAAGTGAGCAAGGTCAGGAAGTAGGTATCTTGTTCTTAGAATTCAACGATCAGGTCTAACTTACGGCATCAGGAAAAAATGGACTTGCGATATTGCGTAGTGTTTGAAAGTCCGGTTCGGTCCGGTTTTTTGATGCCCAGGGGCGTTAACCGTAACCGTAACCGGTCTGCCTTTTCCCCAGAAGTCAAAAGACCAGACCGGACCGCAAAAAGACCGCAGACCGCGGTTTTTTGCGGTCTATAGACTGGTTTCGGTCTGCATCGGTTTTAACCGGTTTATGACCGGTTATTAGGCCAATATTTTAACATTGTGAATCGGTAAATTTATTAACATCTCTATTAGCTTCAAAACGAGCCCAAGAACGTCAAATTCCGTTAGGAATTGGTGTTTCTATAAAATAAGTCTGGTACATCTATTATTCCCAAAAGTAATTTACATTTTAATTCATATCTCTCTCGTTTTTTACCAAATCGTACGTTCTTGGGTGCGTTTTAAAGGGTATTTAAGGGGTTACAAAAGACCGGTCCAAACCGGTCAAGACCGGTTCACGTTAACCGGTTTTTTTGCAGTCTTTACATCTCAAAAATAAAAGACCGTAACCGCAGGTCCGGTCTTTTGCGGTCTTGGTCCGGTCTGGTTACGGTCTTTTTCCGGTCACGAGACCAGACTTCCAAACACTAATATTGCGGTATGTAGACGTGATAGCGCCATTGAGAGCCCCCTGATATATAGTTTGTGGTAGATGCACCAACAAATACATATCACTACAAATAAGTCTATAGCTTAGCATGGTTGTGCTGTATCATCATATAGTTTGATAGAGTCAAATTCCCATAGTTGTACAGAGTTGTACATAGCTCTATGTGAACTCTATGGTATGATAAATATTCTAAAAGCAGAATCGGCTTATTCTTGGGGGGTAATCATCATAGTTTCTAATATAGGAAACAACGTGTCAGTCTAAGGATTTGAAGTGTCCATTTCATTTTGTAGTGTAGAGTAAGTATTCTATTCTATTTCGTATTGTAAATTAAATGTCTGCATTGAGCCAGACTCGAACTCCAGGGTTTGTGGTAATAGTTACCTACTAAGTTACTCTAGTTAGTTATCAATAGTTACCTCTACACCAGTGGGCAATATATGAACACGGAATCTCAGGTTGCTATGATCATCGAGTGTCAAACTTTGAAAGATCATGCCCTTAAGTAACAGCCTGTGCGAAATGTTCAACTTCAACTTCTCTGCCCACCACACACTCTGACTCAAATGGCCTAGGTATGGTGAGTATCAATGTTATGTCTAGTCTGATTTAGTGACCAATCCGAGCCCTTCAGACACCTCAAGGAGGTCAGCTGCAGA